AGCCAAAGATGCTAAAGTTGGCAATTTCAACTTCGATCACCCAGGTGACTTTCTATTATCAATTTGCTTTAATAATTCTCTCTAATTCCAGCTTTCACGAGGAACTTTCACAGAAACACTTGCTACACAGGCCACCTGGTTAGCTCAGTTGGGAGAGTGCCGGTCTGCTGAGTGGGAGGTCATGGGTTCAAACCCTGGCTGGGCCAACACTCAAGGTCTTTAAATAACTGAGAAGAAAGTGCTGCCTTTGTAATGACATCTGCAAATGGTTAGAGTTTCTAGTCTTCTCAGATATAAGGACAAAAAACCATAGCTCCCATCTCACAGCACTTTCACTGATTTGTTCTTGTGGGATGTAAAAGAACCCACATCACTATTCGAAACGATGGTGTGGCCAACCTTTACGGGTTGTGGGATTGAGTAGGGATGGCACCTCACATGGGACCTGAGTCCCGTTCGTGCACATTCCCTCTGGGCAGGCCTGTGTCCAGAAAAGCTGATAAATAAATATAATTATCTGACTCACAAATTTAGATTTTGATTTATGTCCAACAACCAAACAGAATCAACCTTTCTTGAGTTTTTTTGTTTTTTGGCTCAGTTGTATACAACGTTAAGATTAATGCATGTGTATGCTTGCACTGAGATTACAGGTATTATAATTAAATATGCACATAATTAATACATAATTATAGCTAAATAATAAGCTTGCATTTTTGAGTTAATGTCTTAAAAATTAAATGATATCTAATAGTTTATTAATATTTTGGTAGATGCCTTTGACCACGAGCTGACACTTGATACCCTAAAGAAAATAAAAGCAGGGGAAACTGTTCAAATACCAATTTATGACTCTGTCAATGCTACCAGGTGAGTTCTTTGGTAACCTGCCTAACTTACTACATGTAGCTTTCTTAGGTGACCTTTATATGGTAATACAACTGTACCTATAATTGTGATTGAGGGGTGATGAATGCTATAATCCAAGACTTCCTTAGATGCAAAGACCATTGTTTGAAAATGCAAGATGCAAACTCCAAGATGGAACTGGTTAAGCACAAATGAGAGTTTGTGATTTTAGATTTTGAGGAACTTGAATCAAAAAGTTTCTGAGACCTCACTATTTTCCACTGATCACCTCTTGCCCTGAATGTTACATTTGTTGACATGAATAACTTTTGCAACTACGGTGGACCCTGTTGACATAGTCACCAATGGGTCAAAAAAATTTGTCTGTATTAACGGGGTGGCCGTATTATTGGGGCAAGCTCAATTTCATGACTTGAGGGCCACGTAACGACAAACACACTGTACAGTGCTTTGGCGTTTCTTGAACAACTGTTCTCATTAATAAACAAACGGAATGTAGATGCATATATCGTGTACAGTAATTGAAAGAAGCTACTTAATATTCTCCTTCAGTACATAAAACACTTTTAAAATTTGGCAACAAGTGCACTTTATGTGCACTGTAGTGTAAAAACAGTCGAACAGGCACAGAGTACTAGGTCACTAAAATTGACATGTCACAGGCATTTTAATTTTCTAAATTTTGAACAAGTGACTGTATTAACGGGGTGAAATTATAAGAGATTCTACTGTTCGGGATTTTAAAACATGGCTGTTGGCTGTATTAACGGGTAACCACATTAACAGGTTTTTTTTTTTAAGAAAATGTATGGCTGTTTTGCAGGGCTAAAAAAAGTGGTCGTAATAATGAGGTGACCATATTTAATAATGAGGTGGCTGTAAGGTGGGGATTCAGTGTACAATAACTGAGAAGTTGAATGACTTAAAATAAGTTACATCACTTGTATTTAATTTGTATGTACAGGAAAAAGGAGTCTATTACAATATACCCGACTGATGTGATTATGTTTGAAGGCATACTCACAATCTATTTCAAGGAATTTCGTGATATGCTCAACATGAAGTTATTTGTGGATTCAGACAGCGACACTAGATTGTCAAGAAGAGGTTAGATAATAACTTAAGTGCGTGTACAGTAGTTGACTTTCCCTTGTGTTAAAAGTACAGATGGGCCTTAAAATGAAATGCCAAAAGAGGATTCCTGCCTTTCTTCAAGCCTTTTCTTTGACTTTATACAAGACAATACATTGTACAATGTACATGTAGCCTATGAATACAACTGCTTCTCATCTCTTCCCATTGCTGGGGACATTTCATGAGACAGACCTTTGTATTTTTGCCCTAAAAGTGATAGTCTATAAATCATTTGATAAGTTATGAAAGCAGAGAAACTCTGAAGGAACGTAAAATAAATAATTATTCCTTCAGTCCATAAGTATAAATGAACTCATAACAAGTTACCTGTAGCTCTGAAGTAAAACAACTGAGTACATTTTAAAGTAACTGTAGTTTAATATGGAAATTGAAGACATTTCTAATCTAAACAATGATACTTACTGTGATTATGGTGATTAGCTGACCTAAGGGAAAGTTGTAAGAATTTAAGGCAAGATTTTTGGTGTGCAGGCAGACAATGAACAAAAACCAAGAAACAACCAAACTAATCAGATATGGAAAACTAGTATAATAATTATGAAGACATGACTAAACCATATGAATGAACTGGCGCAGGTGTTCAAAGTTTGAATAGTGCTATCCACCGGATAAATCACTATCCAGCAGAGAAAATAACTGCTGGGCTACATTTGTACCCTATTTGTTCAAGTTTGTTATTGATCCTTGCCTGCAAAATAGCGTAGCTAATCGAGGCAGGAAGGAAAAGTAAAAGAAATTAAAATAACAGGGTTGAAACATAACAATAAAGAAAAACAGATGCACAAACATCAGCACATTAACAACAGTGAGTACTTATTATTTCACAAATAGTCTGTAAATAAAGCAATTTATGTAAATTAAACTGAAAATTTAATATTATTTTACTTAATATTTCAGTCATGGTATTTGCTGTATATTAATGAATTTACATGATGTCCATGTTGTATTTTAGTTTTACGTGACACTCAGGAACGAGGAAGGGATCTTGAACAGGTGCTGGCAACATATGCCAATTTTGTTAAACCAGCTTTTGAGGAATTTTGTCTTCCTGTAAGTGTCCAATTTTTCTTATTTATAATATTTTTAGTTGATAATATTATGTTGATAAGGGACTGGTCAAAAAGTATAGGCGGGGGTGGGCCGGAGCAGAGAGGGGGTGGGTCATGAGGTTTTAAGCCGTGTGCAAGGGGTGGGTCATGCAATTTTCAGCTACCCTTAGGGGGTGGGTCACCCTATTTTATTACATAGATAGGCACTAACTACTAACGAGACAGTTGACTACACTTGTTATATAAAACACAGCCAGCTGGAAATACTCACAAACCTGTTGTGCGAAAAAATACAAAGCGGGACAGGCCGCACATCTATACGGGCGTGGAACCCTCTGTTAACCTTTTTTTGGGGGGCTCTAGCAAGCATGTCCTTTAATGATTTTCCTTTTTTGTAAGGAAATGATTGGTGGTTCTTTAAACATTTAGGGAACGCGTCCAAATATCGGTAGGGAACCCGATCATGGGAAACGGACCCGATTAATTTTCCGATTGATCGGAATCGGTACCGATCTGTAGGCACCAGTTGCCGTTTCCGATTACGATAAAAACTTTGCCGATTCAATCGGAGCCGGTTGACATTCCGATGTTCATATGTGTCATCGTCATATTATTTTATCTGATATGTAAAATGAAGCGTGTCACGAAACCAAATAATGACAGAGTCGTTTCACTTCAAAGCAATTTCAATCGACTGTACCTTTTTCCTACTCCATAACAAATAGCAATATTGTATGTTTCTGCATGTTGTTTTTCGAGTTTGTTGATTTGATGCGTGCCTATACACGTGATTTTCTGCGTTTTGCAGAGGTATTTCCTTCAGTCGATCGCAAACACCACGCTGCTCCATAACATTTATTCTATGAAAATTAAAAGGAGTTAAATATTACGACGCAAAACACCACTGTTCTTCGTTGATATATAGCAAACAAAACACCATACTGAGTAGTGTGTTCTTTACTCGATACTAATTTCTAACAATGCAATCCAAAAACACAACCGGAACTCACTTTCTCGAAACACAGCTGGATTCATAGACTTGTTACAAGTAGACCTCAACGGGTTTCCTAGCGAGCGGAGCGAGAGCAAAACCATGGATAATGTAAAACAACGGGATAAACTTTTACGAAAATTTGCGTCTTTCATTCAACGATCCTAAACGCAAGGTGTAATGCGATCTGAGGCAAAAAATACCGACCAATTAGATTGGGGCCTCAGATTGTCTCCAGGGAATTGGCAACAGGAACTGAAAGATTCCCACACTCGCGAGTCACGCACGGAAGACACGAAACGAAGTTTCATACAGGAGCTACCAAAGAGAGAATGGCTTAGCGACTTTGCTGTATGTTCTGTGAGCTTGAGCATGGTGCCACGTAAAATTGCTTTCCACTCTCAGCACTTAGAAAAAATTGCGCTTGACTCTAGGTGACTGACTGTTTGACAAAAATCAGAACCTATTTTACCGGAGTGTTCAACTAAAGTAAACTGGCATACATCCGGTAAGTTCGACTCAATTTAATAGCGGAAAGACAATCGAGAAAGAGAAAACCAGTTGAACGCCTCCATCAGTCACTTTTTTGAGTTCATATGCAACCAATAAACAACTTGCAGCTTGATTCTCAGACGATGTCCTCTTCTCTCCTGTGGCAATTTAGCAGTTAAAGTACACAACATGGTAACAACATTTGCATTTTGGTCGTGGATGTTCTGACTTCTATTTTTTTCGTTTACCGTCCTAAACTGTTTATTCCTCCAAAGATTCCTATAATCATGCGTTTTGGCTTCCGGTTAGCAAAGGCTCAAGCTATTTTAAAATTATCATTTTTTAAAATTATCATCATCGTACACTTGCAATGTACATTGCGCCGTCTTTCACTCAAAAGATGCCTGTTGTTTCTTCTCGTGCCCATTTTGATACACAAATTTAATATTTTCTGTTCATACTCTGTCATAGGAAATACAAACAAATGTTCGAAACCGTGACGTTAAATTTCGGTTCAAACAAGACACATTTATAAGAAAGATAAGGTTATAAAAAACAACATTCACACTTTTGCTTTTGCTTTTGTGACGGGTTATTTGAGCTGCCAGATATTTTTGATGACCTTTGTTAATTGGCCCGATAAAGACTTGAGACCCGTTGCCGATTCCCTTTCATTCGGTGTCCGACCTTCAACGGAATCGGAAAAAATCGGTGCCCAATTGATCGGCATCGGTATGACCCGATGCCGATATTTGGACGCGTTCCCTTATTGAAGTTATAATTGGTTTTGTATAAGATTCCATTTTTTCATTCAAGCTTCCGTTATAGTAGACACGGAGGGCTGGTATTGTGTCACGAATGGCAATATTTCTTTTTCCTCCCTGTTGTTTTGTTTTAGGAGTTTAGACTCCCTTTTGTGAATTTTATTTCTGATAGTACGTTTTCTATCAAAGATTGTGGGTAACCTCCGTCCATCAAGCGTTTTTTTTAAAATTTGAATTATTTTCGTAAAAGGTTGTTTGTAAGGGGTTTTTGTAGGATTCTCAAGGCTTCTCCTTTGACAAATCCTTTTTTAACATTTGGAGGGTGACATGAGGTGAAATGTGTGTTCAAGAAGGTTTCTGTTTGTTTAAAATGTGTCTTTGCATCAAGGATAGATTTTGCCTTGAATCTTGTGCCTTTGTATACAACTGTGTCTAAAAACGCAGTCTCAGTGTCAAAATGTTTCGGCCTTGAATTCAATAGTTGGGTGATGTAAGTTTCCTTGTTCAATGAAGGCTTCGATGTCTGGTTTACTCATGTCCCATAGGGAAAAGATATCGTGTATGTAGCTGTTGTTCTAAAGACCGTTTTTCTTAGAGTTGTGGTTTCAATATATGTCATGAAAATATTGGCAAAGGAATCAAAACTGCTGTCTTTGTGCCCATTGCAGTTCCATGGTTTTGTAGGCAGTGCTTTCCAATGAAGGGGAAGAAATTTTCTGTGAGGATTAGTCTGAGCATTTCTGGCAAGTAATGTGTAGGAATGGGTTGTCTTTGTAGAAATTTTCATATGCTTTGTAACAGACAATTTAAATATACCCTCGTTTTGCTGTATATTTGTGTCAAGACTCATAACGTCCGTTGAAACAAGAAATGTTCAGTTTTTCACATTCGTCTTTTCAGTGAAAGGTATGATTTCTGTGATTTTTATATTGGTTGTAGCAGTGTATCAAAAAATTTTGTCAAGCACAGAACAAGGTTTTATTGGATTATTGAGAGGAAACCAAACATCCATGTTTTAACTAGGGGGTGGGTCATGCAATTTCCAACCTTGCTTTAGGGGTGGGTCGGTCATTTTTGTGCCAAAGGGAGGGGGTGGGCTATGTGTTTTTTATCGACCACATTTCCAAATGCTCCGGCCCACCCCGCCCCCTATACTTTTTGACCAGTCCCTAAGTTTAATTTTTTGTAAATATGCAGCGTCTTTTTTTCTTTTTTACATTATTAACTAAACATGTTTTATTTATGTATAATAATTTATGTAAAAGTGAAATTTGCTACTTCTGATTTAGTTAGTTATTTATTTAATCCATGTAATTTTTTTCTTCCAATTTATTCCTTGTACATATGTATTTTTTTTTTCTTCTTTGTGCTTTACTTGCAATGAATTATTATATAATATATAATAATTCATTGCAAGTAAAGCAATATATTATTTTTTATATATTATATATAAAAAACGTTTTCTTTGGAACATTTTAATGTTGCATTTGTTTGCCTGAATTATGGACCAGTCAATGTAAACCCCCACACCACGGGACATATCAAGGCATTTATGGGAAATTTTCCCTTATTTGACTAGCGAAAGGGCCTTAGGTATCGGGGACTTTGACGCCCTTTGCACGCCATCCAAGAACAGCGGGGGAATTGACCATGGTATTTTCCACCAAGGTGGACTGGGCCAAGAGTCACTAATCTGGCAAGATGGTGGCTATGGAGTAGTGTGTTTGTTCAAGTTTTGATGTACATTTTAAAACTGCATTTGCTAACATTTTACCCTCTTCTACTTTGGGGGAGCAATTAAGGGTGGCACAGTGGTGAGATTACCAGTGTTACCTGGGTTCGAACTTTTGGGATTAAAAAATGTGATGGAGAGATCTAGAGGAATCATAAAATTCTCACTTTCGTAATAATTGCATTAAATTGCACCAGTGTGACCCAGGTTTGAATCCTGGCGTCAACTCCATATGTGGGTTGAGTTTGTTGTTGGTTCTCTCCCTTGCTCCAAGAGGTTGTTCTCCTGGTATTCCGGTTTTCCCCTCTCCTTAAAAACCAACACTTCCAAATTCCAATTCAATCTGGAACTCACAGATACAAATTTTATAATGCTGCTTAGAATTCATTTCTAGAGTTCTAAAAGTACTCGGGATCACCTACATGTGCATGAAAGAAATGTTTTCAATGTATTTAGTCATTGGTTGCCCCTGACATAGACACCACAAATATTTTACCATAATGTTAATATGTGGCAATGTGTGTTTACTTGACAAATAAAGTTTAAATCATTTACATTAACCTGTGTCTTTGACTTTTTTTCAACAAGAGCAGGGGATGTGAGTAGGGTCATTAGCTTCAATTAGAGGAAAAAGATGACCCTGAGGTGTGGGGCATTTTACAACTTTTGCAGTAAGCGCTTATCAAAATAATTAATGCCCCGCTGTGTCCTGGCGGGTGGGGTGCTGGGGTTTATATTGACTGGTGCATTACTTTGGAAAAAATTTTACTTTATTATTCAGTGGTATAGCAGGTCACCTATTTTTGGAAGACATGCCATGAATTAATGAAATTTTGTTGTACATCTATGAGGACCCCAGTACATTTTTGGGATGGCATTTAACCTATTTAAAATGCCAGGATTCAGGAAATTAGGACCGGAATCTTAAAAAAGAGTGGGATACAGAATAATGTCACTTTTGATAAAAGTGGGACTCTGAAACAGACTTTTAAGAAAACTGAAATCCTGTTAGAACACTGAGCTGCATTTTCTTAAATATTTCAAGACCAAAATCCTGTTATTTCAAATTAGCAAAGGCTACCCACATTTTTCTTTACATTGTCAAGCCATCACATTGTGACTATATATGTACAGTTGAACTTCTCCACAATGGCCACCTTGGGGACCGAAAAAAGTGGCCATTGTAGAGAGGTTTGAACAAAAAGAGTCAATATATGGACTGTCCACCAAAACGGTGGCCTTTGTGGAGAGATAGCCTTTCTGTAGAGGTAGCTGTTAGTGGAGGTTCAACTGTATCACTTTGCCTATCTAGTGGTCTATTATTAATGCTGCATTCTGATTGGTTGAGCTACTACTAGGCTATATGTTATAGCCCACTAGTAGCGAAAAGAGCCGGCTTTTTGGTGACAAAAAAGGATTAAAGTCTAGCTTTAACTAGCTAAAGGTGTTTTGTCTCGATATTTTTGAGCAACTAGTTGGATTTCACTAAGATTTCCTCTCGCCCTCAGCCTTCAGCCTCATGGGCTATTGACTCAGAGCCCATTGGGGTTCGAGGAATAATTGTTAAATAGACCCTTGTAGATGAGGAAATCCAGACCCTTGTAAGGCTTCTTTGAAAACCATGTTTTCTGGGCCGTGATTAGCTGATAATACTGTCTGAGTAATGGGATTGAGCAAATCTGTTGGTCGGGATGGCAGATACAATATAAGGAACCTCACCCATGGGTATGAAACATTTATCTTTGGCATGGAAGTTTAGTAGCATGAGCTCACAAATATATACCCACCTGACTATAATGCCGATTTTGCAGACAAAAAAGTATGCTGATGTGATAATACCAAGAGGATCAGATAACACAGGTAGAGAATATAAAAATGTAACTTGTATTGCTAGAGACAGTAAGACCTGACCAAAACCTGGTATCCACCACTGTGAGTTACTAAATGACAATAGTTCATAATAAGAATGTCTGAGAATAAAGAAAATAGTAAAAATAGAAAAGAATGTCTGAGAATGAAGAATGGGAGGCTAGGTCAGGTCCTTGACCTTTTTCAAGTTTTACCATCCTAAACATGGCAGATGAGATGAAGAGCAGCTGTATGGAAGACTATGGCTGGGCCTCTTAATATTAAGAGATGTATTTTATTTATCTGTCATGTATAAGTCAACGTTTTTCCAACCAAAAAGTCTATCCAAAATGCCATCTTCCTGTTCTACACAGGCCACAAGCTCTTGTGGGCTGATTGAAAACAGTCTTATAAATCCTACATACATTGTGCAAAAATTAGCCTATGATGACAAGCAATGAAGGCCAAAAAAATTCAACTGCATGTAGTTCCTTGATGTTGGTCTTCTTGTGTCGTTGATCTACGTGTATATCTACGTGGAATCCACTGCCGGACTTTTTTCGTACCAGTTTTTTTGCAGACTTTACGACCAAAATACAGGATGTTACCTTCATGTAGATTCTTTTTGCCTGACATACTTAAACTTAAAATTGTGAATTGTAAATAATATATATATATATATATATTTTTATGTGCTTATTATTATTAATATTATTTTATTATTATTTCTTGTAATGCATTTAATGTCTATATATATATATATATATATATATTTCTATACTATTTTCATGTAGTTTCAGCTCGAAGATATTAGCTTGTTAGCTACTCTAAAATTCGAGTATAAATAAAGTTTTATGTTATATTATGTTATATCAATTTTCCTAGGCATTTCTTTCCAGAATTGACAAAAATCTCATGTGGAGCTTCAAAAAAGGAATGTTATCTTATACATAGGCTTGATCTTCAATCACGAGTGAATACACTAAGGTTTATAGGCAGTCACTGCTTCAGATTTCATATGTCCTCTTTGTTTTTAGTGGCCATAGGGCTTATTGTGCAGCACATCAAAGACATTCTGAATGGAAATAAGAGCAGTGAAATTGATGGAGTACATGATCCAGGACGACGTCAAAGACACCACTCTGACTCAAGTATGGTTTCTTCCAGACCACATTGATGATTTGATTTTCGTGACAAACATGTACAATGTAGATTAACTTTAATCAATTCCTGAAAAATAATTATTCATATCTGCTAACCCAGCTTTGCAATTTTGAATTTCTTTCTTCTTTGGATTTCTGAATAATTAACAATAATAATTATAACTGAAGTAGTTAACCTATTAAAAGTTTAAACAATCTGAAAACTCGGTAGCCAATATTAATTTGTAACTACTTTGATGTTATCATCAAGCAACCTCAGGGTACCCGGGATTTAAGTTAAGCTGTGACTAATTCATGTCATGTAAAGTACTGTCACATAGCTAATTAAAAAATAATATGCTAATGATGATCTTGTATTGTAACATTAAAGAGCAGCTCCTAGTTAACAAAATGTAATTGCAGCTTTTAATTGAATAATTGCTTGTCATGATAAAATTAAGGTACTGCCGGTTGTTAATTTGTTGCAAAAAGAAAAAGAAACACTCGCAAGTTTCAAACTGATAAGCAGTGCAGCTGGTCATGGGGCACCCAACGACGGTTTCCTGCTAAAATATGCATTGAAAACACTTTTTCTAGAAATGCATTCTAAGTAGCACTAAGAAATTTATATCTGTTCGGTCATCCTTGGGCAACTGGAGTCGTTTCGAAATTACAAGGGCTTCAGTATTTTTTTCCCGAAAATTTTAGACGCATTTTAAAGTATTACGAAAGTAAGAATTTTTTGGATTGGTCTCTCCCTCGCATTTTCCAATCCGAAAATTTTAGGTTTTCTTTTTTCTCCGAAAAATAACTTAACCTGAGGAGTAAAATGCGAAAAATTAAACTTGAGAAAATCGTAGAGAATTTGTGAGGTACCGTTCCATTCGTGTACAAGTTTCGAAGCTTCATCTTGAAATTTTCAGCCTTCCTCAAGCTATAGAAAAATCTAGGCAATTTTTGCTTCTCCGAACAGATATTTTACAGAAAAAAACAGTCGTTGGGTGCCCCTGACTGGTTCTCATGTAAAGAACGGACAATTAAATGGCCTCAAGGCCCTGTTTACTTGGAGGAAAGTTGCCTCGGGTAGCAAGAGTGACCAACATCAATTTTCTCCCAACAATATCAGTAGATCATCAAGAGTAAAGGTCATGAGAATTACTGAATTGATTACCAGTGGGAGAATACTTTGATCTTAAACCAATTTCTCTCAACTATTCTTAAAAGAAATATATGGAGATCATTTTAGAGAGTTTATATGTGGATATTGGGGCTTAAAGGGTTAAGCGAGCTATCATGGGCGAGTCAACTTTTAATGCATGTCTTTACAAAACGCGGCGAACTGTTTACATGAGAAACAAAACGCCTGCTCGGTTAGAAGAGCTATTCGCCTAGCCAGTTCACCTTTTCGTGATAGTTGGGTCATCTTCCTCGCGGGCCAACTTTTCTCCATATAGAGTGATTTTACTTGAACCGTGAAACAGATACTAACAAATAGCAAGAGGTCAACAAAAGAAGGCAATGGAATTGGTGCATAATAGTGCGTAGTTTTCTACTACCTATTTCACGGGTTAAGTAAAATCACTCTAAACACTTTGTCTTGCCAAGCCTGGTCAACTCATTCAAAGCCGGACAATCAGAGCATGCGTGTGCGGTTTTGGTTCAGACAAATGGATTCACCTTTTTTCTCATACAAACGCTTGCTAAGTTGACTCGGGGCCTTAGTCTGTCGCTCTAGTCAGCCAGATTAAATGAAAACGAAGCAAATGCTCGATTGATTCCTTTTATTTGGCATCAAACAGACAACAGATGAAGTTATTAATGTTCATTTTCTTTAATTTGTTTGGTTTTAATGTTCAAAATAGCAATGAGCTTTTTGCGTATGCCCAGGCCTTCTTTAGAGGTCAGTTATAAGCCCTCTTCACTGTAGGCAATCTCTCTTAGAAATTCAGTTTGGAACAATGTTGGTCACCAAATATAAAACACCATTTATAACAGTTTTGTATTAAACTGCAGCTTTTGGAGCGTTTAGGCTGCGATAGAGTTTATTGTTTACAGTCTCGCTACCAGACCATCTTGCCAGAAAGGAAATGGCCACCAAGAAGTCGACTCGCCGCTAACTTGTTCGCAGATTTGTCTGTTTTGACGAGGAGCCCACGTTTCGTAGCAGCTATTATTATGCTTGGTAAGTGTGTCAATTATTTAAGAGTTGTTAGTTGGTGGCGAGTTGACTTCTTGGTGGCGATTTGTTTTGAGGCGAAATGGTCTGGTGGCGAGGTGACCGGATTCCGGTTTATTTAACTGCATTACCTCAGGTATTGGATATGTGGTCAGGCAGGCCTGATGCATTTGTACATGATTAATACTTTTCAAAGTTACATATTATTTTAGAGCGTTTTAATCAGTCATTCTATAGGTGTGTCAACAAAAATTTTTAAATATCGTATTTATGACAGTTAAAAATCCATAGTAGTTCGGGCATTTACTAATTTATGTTCAACGTAGTGACTGGAAGTATCATTGCGAGATATTGATGTGTGACTTTGCCTATATTGAAGGCAAACTAAACTGAATTGTGAAATCGGTATAATTATTTGCAGATGTGAATATATAGTGTGCAAAATGAAAAGTTTGAAGCAATTTCATATTATTTTAAAGAAATAGGGAATTTTGTCCTTTTTCGTTGTGGTTGTTGTACGTTCGTGTTATCAATATTAGGGAGTTTAAGATACGGCGACTACGGACTACGACTACGGATAAACATGCTACTACGCATGATCAAAACCACGTGACTGTTAGTTTTCCCCGCGTAGTCCTGCGGCTACGGTGAGTTGTTGAGCTGTTTCGCGTAGTCGCGACTACGGAGAACATTTTGCTCGTATTTTGCCGTCTCGCTACTTCAAGAATCTCGTCTTTTCGTAAAAATGTTTTTAATTCACCTGCTTTAAATCGGGAAGCAAAATATGTAAGTTGCGTCTAATTTCTGCTCAGAACGCTTTTTCCACTGTTGTGACATCATTTTTATCTAGCTAAGCCCATATTTGAAAAGGTTAGCTGTTTATACGCAGAATTCCGATTGACGGCCGAGGAGAAGAGAAATCATTTAGGTAATTTAAGTTTCTCTTAGCACTTGAAAAGATTCAATGTTTGTTCGAACTGATGATTGTGTCTTTCACTTGAACCTTTTTTATGCGAGTTTTTGTATCGCATGTGCTGAATGAAAATGAGGTAAACATCTTGGAGACAATCGAAACTCGGCATTTCAAAGACTAAATCAGATCAGTTTTCGGAGAAGTCCATATTCTAAATCTAATAAATGAATTACTATTTTGTCTATTTCTTTAAATTTGACATAATCATTGTTAAAACCTGATAACCAAAACTTTGTTTACAATTTCACCCGGCTTCCTTCAAGTATGGAAGAATTTTTCAGTGTCTAAAGATACGAACATGCAAAACTGACTTGCATTTTTGTGAACTGTCAAAAACAGAAAATCTTTGCGTGTTGTTTCCCTCTCCGCCCCTTCTCTCGTAGTCTACTGTCTGTAGTGCAATCTTAACGTTCTATATTTGCACGACTCAACCCAGTGCTACGAACAAAGAACAACGCTCGTCCAGCCGTAGTTCGTAGTCCGTAGTCGCCGTATCTTAAACTCCCTATTGTTGACCATGGTGTTGACAAGCTAAAACAGTAAATCGGGAGCAAGTAGAACTTTTTAAAAAGCTGTTTCAAAATACCATCAAATGGTATTACCAGTTTTGAATTTTGCTTACCATTTGCCAAGACCATGATCCGACCGGTTTGCCGACGTAAATGGCAGACAGCAAACACTTCTCACAGCTTTTTTGATTTTAATAGTTTTTCCTTCATTGCATGATCATAATTATCAGCATGTCTGTTCTTTTCCAGGATTTTGTGTTCTAAGAGATGACAATCGTTCAGTGTGATACACGTTTTGTTACTTGTATGTCGCGTTGTGTCAGGCATGTTGTAAATATCATTCTACTTAATACATTTATTAATTTATTGCAATACTTATTGTTTGTACACGTTTGTTACTGCGATGTAATGTAGCATTGAGCAAAATAAAGGTTGTATTGTTTTTCGTAACAGTTTTAATATGGTAGTTCATTTGCTGCCCCGCATTTTGGCCCTTTCTCAACCTCGCTTATTATTCATTAAAAATATTTGCCCGATTCTGATTGGCTAAAAGCACACGCATAATTCACCATAACCAGTTTCTGATGACCAAATTTGGAAGAATTTTGTGTTTAACGAGGAAATGACGTCAAAAATGCAGCGTTCGTGCAGGTTAAGGCACCGTTAACCGGGAAGACCTGGGGACGAGGTTGAGTTGTTTTGGTTGTGAAAACAAAGAATGGCTGACAATTCACTCGTTTCAAGAGTAAGAACTAGGCGAAAAAATAGCCAAAAACATGGCAAGAACCGCAAGAAGACAATTCGAAGGGCGACATCTGCTATTTGGAGAATATTTGCGGAGCTGGACAAACCTAAACGTACACTATCGAAGATGAACTTAACATCGATGGATCGATGGAGGTAAGTATGTGTTAGCAATGTTTTTAAACCTGGAATTAATTTGAGTGAATAATAAAACAATTATTGAATTCGGCTTTCGTATCATATGAAGAATTATGGAGATCTCGGAGGGTGTTACCCGCCTCGGCCTACGGCCTCCACGGATAACACCCTCCTCGATCTCCATAATTCTTCAGGAGCCTCATTCATATAATTATTAGTTTCATAAGGTTCGCCCTTGACTTGAGAGTAAGTACTTACTTAGCAAGTACTTTGTTCTTTCTTTAAGCGACATCTGCAAAATTAAGACAGAGGTTTCAACGTAATGAATATAAAAAAAATGCACATTTTTTAGATATTACTTAGAGAAGCTTACACAACTTGAAAAAGTTAGCCTAACTTTCTCAAGTGATCTCTGGCTGAGAAACGATGAACTGACCGCTGACATACACATTTTGCTAATTACAGACCCTTCTATCGGGTTAATTAATAGTTGCGGGGTAAAGGACTACAAGGAAGTCCTACAATCACGAGTTCTTTGTTTCTCGAGTGCATGGCCAGTTTACGGTCGTACGAAAATAATTCAATTGAAACTGTTTGCGCGCGCCACAAAATATGCGAAACTTAGCGCAATTAGAATGACGCACTGAGAGTGTTACGATTTGAATTATGGTGATACTGTGGGCCATTTTTGATACAAAAGACATCATCCTGACAAACAAACATTGATATTGTGACGTCTAAATAGTAACAGGACATCCAAGAAACCACGGGAAATCCAAATTGTAGTGGGCTGCCAGGGGCTCCGCTCGCAGCAATCATCTTTTGCTTCATCCTTGTGACGTCATGAGTTAAAAACGGATGATGATGATTCTAATAAAGAAAATTGAGATGCCAAATTAAATTCTAAATTGTTCATTATGAGTGTTACGTAACGTAAAGTCAATTATAACGCCTCCAAACGTCGCTCGCTAGTGGCAAGACAGTTTGCATGATCTGATCAATTATATAAGTAAGTCTGGTCTTTCTTGGGTCTGTACAGGCAAGCAAGAGAAACTTCAATCTTTAGAAAAACAGAGTTAACGTCTGTATATTTAACAACTGCCTGTTTCAAGACTGTTAGGTTTAACCTTAATAATGTCACGATCCTCAAAAGACTTGACGAAAAATGTAAGTAATTCAAGCTCAAGTTCAGGATTGACGGGAAGGAGATCGTCACATTTAAAAACACTGACAAGGAAGAATAAAACGTCCAATAGAAGCGGAGCCATAAATCGTTCCTCCAGCAGTAGTGAAGAAAGCACCAGAACTTCTTCCAGCAAAAACGGTAGGCTATATCAAGATATATGTTTTCATGTTTAAAGCCGTTATGAAGAGACAGATGATTCGCCTTTGTAAGTACTCATGTCTAGAAATATCACTATTTGCGCCCATGTTGAAAATAGTCTCCTCACTCGCTGAGTTATAATTGTATTTATATAACTCTTAATACATTTATGTATTTTCTATTTTTATGCGCTCAAGTATCACACATATGCTAGATCTAAGATTAACAAAAAATACAAAAAATGACATCCTTTTAGTTTCTGTCAGTATTCAACAAAGTTTTCTCATTTTCTCATCTCAACTCTAATTTTTCTTTTCATAAAGAAAATGATGGTCGAATGAAAAATTCGCAATTTAGATATTGACTCTCATTACGCAATTATCGATTGTTCTAATTTCAATTATAACAGATCTACTGCAAATTGGTTTAAATTGTCATTGTTCAAGAAACCATCAATCGGCGAAGAACAAAGTTACTAATTAGAAAGGTGTAATCAATAAATAAATGAAATTGAGAAAAATATAAGGTATAGAAGACGCCAAACGCGTGTGGGAGGGTCGCCATTTATTAAAATAGCTTTGGTTCATCTTTGACATTTTGTGATAACTCAAGCCGGTTCACTTATGTGTATGGGTGTGTCAAATAAGTCTCGAAATTTATCTCTAACGTAGGATGCATACCCTGCTTGAATGAATCAATTAGCGCGCGCGCGTGGTAAAACAAACAATTTTTTTTTTCCATGTTAGGCCATGTCTACACAATACCTGATAGCTTTTCGGGCCGATATGAAAAGCTGTCCTGTACAGTATGAACTGCAAGGGCTCAAAACTGGAAAAATTCGTTCACACACATCGAATATTGAGAGTTTGGTGCGCTAAATCCCAATAGCCACTTCTAAATATATACTTCTGTCTCAATGGGTTCCAGTCCTCGCTCCAACTCATTTACTTCCGCTATGGTCCGAATGTCTGTTCGCACTGAGAGAAAGGCTATTCGATATGTGACTCTCAATTTCAAGATCGGCGCGGCGCAGCTTCGCTCCGTTACAAAAATCGCGCAGAAATCTTACGTGTGAACGGAAGTTTTATCCTGTATGGTATTGTATCGGCACTAGAGCTATCCGGTACAGCGAGAACATATCCCGAACTAGTGTGACTATCAACAATAGAAAAACAACCCATACAAGGGGTGTGGTTATTTTTCGCTATGTTTAAACTGCTTGTATAATTCCCTTGGTCTTATAGGGCAAAAAAGGAAGCACGACAGTCAACCCAACTCGTCCAAAAGGAGAAAGCTTTCGGGAGAAGAGAGTTCGAGTAAGCTTGATCTAATAGAAATGCGAGCAAGAGCACGAATAAAAGCTCGGATCCGAGCACGAACGAAGATAAAAGAAGCCGATGAACGGCGCTTGGCTGCATTGAGGGCGCTCAAGGAAAATGGCTGGTCAGATTTGATGCCTTATGAAGTGCTCTTAAGGATCTTTCGTCTGGTTGTGAAGGACTCCGGTCCAGTACCTTTCTTATGCAGGTAAAACGACACTGAAATGACATAATTTATATGCGCGTTGGTTATGATTTTGAATCGCGTTTTGCGACAGGAAAGATTTAACAATTTCTATGATTTTTTATGAGTTTGCAATAACCATAGACTGTGTCATTTGCGTTAATTATTTCACCTTTTGCAGGATGTCTAGGGTTTGTCGGAACTGGAAACGAGTGGCGTCCGAAACAACGTTGTGGCGGGAGGTTAACTTGTCAACAATGAGTGTTCAGAGTCCTAGAACAGCTACTGACTCAGCGATTGGAAAGTTAGCTGCTTCGAGACTGAAAGTTGTTAAAGAGCTGAGTCTGGATGGATGGAGTGAATTAACTGACGTAGGACTCAAGGTTAGAAAAAAAATTCAATTTTTTGACCCAACCCCTTTAAGTCGGAAAATTTGGCGGGTTGCTTAGCGTAATGGGTTAATTAATTTAAGGGATTGAAAAGTTTATAAGTTCATAATAAGTTTTGATTGTATTCTTCTTCTTGGATAATAGGACGGCAAAATGCAATGGTTTTAAACATAATTCTCCGAGTCGACTTGGATTCTGTTAACCCCCGCAAATGAATTCCAATTTCTCAGTAAATGACCAACTAGACACACTTCACTTTCAGCTCCTTAGTTGGGTTTTGAACGAGCAGGCATCAAAGAACGTCACGAGCGTCTTTGTGCTTTTAAAAATCGTGCATGTGTTTTAAGCTAAATCATTTCTATTACAATCAGTGGTGGATCTAGGAGAGGGCCCGAGAACATAAGCCAATCATTAGGGAACTTAACCAAAGGCGTTTTTGAGCGACAAACGTGAACCGGAAGTGGACTTTTTACATTCCTGGGCAGTGGTTTTGCCAAACTTTTCAGTTGAATCTTCTTTACTAGTGTAAAGAAACTAAGCAATACAAATTTTACAGCGTCAAGGTAAATTAAAAGGGAAAAGTCCTCACTTTGCTCAAGCTCCCTAAACCAATGGCAGGGCCCGCATAGACTTTTATAGACTGTGCTAGCATAATTTTTAGCATAATTTGAAAAAACTAGCACAATTTTCCCCATTTTTTAAAACGTAGCACTGCTAGCATAATTCGCATATTGATTCCCAAATCCCAATTATATGCTGACGTTGTTCGATATTTTAGCGGTATTTGCAGTTTACTGAGCCCCGAAATGGGGTACTGGAACTAGGGTGTACGGGAATCGGAAGTCCCACGGCAAACCGTGTCGGTCTCACTACCTCTCATGGGCAAGGCTACAAAATGGCGTCAACTATGCCAGCCGATTCGAGCGAAAACTTACAGCTCTCTCGGAGAAATGACGGGCCAGAACAAGCCACAATTGCCAGAGACCGTTATATCTTATAGCTAACAAGAATAAACGGCTTCTGATTAAAGAAAATGTATTTTTGGACTTATTTACCATGGTTTTTGAGGAGTACAATTTAAAAGAAGTAGCATAATTTGCCCAAAAAAAGAGCAGACTAATGGCACAATATGCTACTTTTACTAGCACAATCTTTAAAAGCCTTGGCCGCCCACAGGGCTGAGCCACGAAGGAGACGTCTATGTTCGAGAGAAAACCCTTCTACCCCAGGCCAGGGTCGTAATCCACCTGGATCTATTTTTACACGGCGTTGTCAAAGCTCACAACCTTTGACTGCGTGATTTCGTACTTCGAAGCAACACCATGCAGGGTATGGATATGGCTCAAATTAAGAAGCTTACCGCCTATTTATTTATTTGTTTATTTCGTTTCATCAGGCTATAGGTAAAAACTGCCGCCATCTTCAGTCCGTCGTCTTGTCTCAGTGTGGGAGTGTGTCGTCAAAAGGCATCGCTTCACTTGCTACAAAGTGCCGACAGCTCAAGAGGATAGACGTCGCCATGACAAAGGTGAATGATAACCACGTTGTTTAATCTCTCTAGCTTATGTCACTGGCAAGTTCAAGATTCTTTACTGTTGTTATCATTCTTCCGTTCCTATGCGTTGTCCCGGGCAAAGAGAAGGTGTTTGAAATCGTATGAACTGGTAAAAAATTACCCCGGGGACTGGAAATCGATAAAATGCAAGTTCTTAACTGGACTAAAAAAGGAACATACTCCTTCTGGTTGGCGGCCCACCCACCTATTGACCTAATCCAACTAATAAATAAAAATACAACTCTTCAATACTTGTCGTTGTTTTATTTCGGTTGTCGCTTTTATTTTTATTGTTTTGCTTTTCGCATTTTATTGCTGATATAGATTTAACTTGGCATAATTTAGCTAGCGTACTGACATCTAGACAACTGTCTTTGAAAATGTTTTCTGACTGAAGATATGAAATTGCTTAATTTTTGGTTGTTGTTTTTTTTCTAACGCGATTTGCAGATAGATATTTCATGCCTCCACCGTGTAACCAGGAGGCTTGGTGGCCAGTTGGAAGAGCTCTGCTTAATGAACTGCTCTCGTTTGGGTGGGGAACAAGTGCTTCCTATAATCCAAGTTTGTATCATTGGTTATAGTTATATTTATTTTCTAACAGCAGCCCATTGACCAGAACCTTTATTTACGATGTAATTGTGCCACGTTTTTCGCGCAGACAGCGTTTTTGTTTTTGGAGTTATTTTGCTACTAGAGCGATTTTCTTATGACCTTGAAAACCGGTTTCGGTAAGTGTTCTTTATTTGTTTTATCAGCCAATGGATGAAAAGATCAAAACATGGACACTTCGCTTTCCCGCCAAAGAAAACCCTAATATGGAGAAGGCATTGTTCGATCGGCCAATCGTGTTGCAGTATGACGTCAAAGCGAAGTATCGATTGATTTCTAGAAAGTTCTCTGGCATGAAGTTTTTTCAACCGAGCGTTCGCTTTAAAACAAAACAAAAGCTACGCACGTTTGTATCCGTTTGATAAACCAATCAAATCGCTATATTTCAGTTCTTTTGTTGTTTCTGTTTTGTTCGCGCGTTTTCATTTTAAGGTCATTCGAAAATCGCTCTATTTTAGCGCATCACATAGTGTCAAACAAACTAATTGTTTCAGTCGGTGCTGTGGTAGGGTGCAATCACAAAATGACGTAATACAAAAGATTGAAATGACACTAAACAATATCCACACCACAACACAGAGCCAAACGAACAATGGTTTCCGCAACATCAAGAAACCACCAACTAACCTCTCAGAAAAAATACAGACCTGAAAACCTCCTCCTTCCGACGTTTAGATGGTACACGTCATACTTCCTATTCGCCCGCATAGCAAAATTAAGGGTCTATATTTGCTGGAAATGATATTCTCTAAAGCCTGTCCAGCCTGTCTTGAACAGTGGAAACGTTGTGATAAAGACCTATCATGGAGATTAAAAGAAATGAGTACACTCCTCTTCCATCAATGGGGCAAAATTTTCAAATTCAGCAGGTGAAGCCAGCTGTCGACCGAGTTTATTTTCGGTTTCCTGATTTTCCTTGTAACGAGGGATTTTCTCTGGCGCTTTAATTATTTTACCCTCTCCTGCCTCGTAAACCAAACATTGACCCGAACAGGCGAGCAATTGCTACACGTGTTCTTTATAATAGAGAGAAGAAGTGTGACTTCAAGTTACCGTGGTACCAAAATGTCTGCATCTCAACAATCCTTCTTGACAGAGATTTAAGAACGGAATAACCATAAACTCATACCACAATCGTTTTTCTCTGCAGAACCGTTGTCCAAAGCTGACCGTTCTTGACCTAACGGGTACTAACATAAGAAAGCTGAATGTGGAAAAACTGCAGGTACAAATTTCACTTCTCAAACGATTCTGTTTGGTTCACCTCACAAAAAAGGGTTTCTTAAAACGTTTCTTAAAAGTAAATTGTTCTTTATTGCAGGCTGGCTGTCCAAGGCTTAAAGAACTCTTCCTCGCCAACTTATTACTTCACTCCACGCCTACAAGCGCCGAAGTGGTATGTAATAAGCTGAATGTTATGATGACTAACGAAAATGAGTTCAACATTTGATCTAACTCATCGAAAGAGGTATTACACCATCAGGCAATTTTGATTGAAGTTGCGTGAAAAATTATAAACAAATTTTCGGCTACTTGTTTAACAACCCCTCTCGTGCTATTAGCCAAGTAGTCTGCCCGTGACATGCATCAACGTGACATGTACATGCGCCGTTAGTAGTATAGCAAGGACTTTTTACCTCTTTTTTGAGCTAGAATCTCAAATTGATGTGGAATATATTAACGTTGACGACCATATAGATGAAAGGCATTGGAATCTTATTGAGCCATTTTCTTCTTTATACGTTGTGTTTCTAATATTGGAAATACGAAAGGACTTAGACCAAGGGTTCTGATGCGCCTTCACTTCGGAATTACCACTTAGTAATTATTATTTGTTAGTACAAAGCAACTCAGCAGGCTGAATGATCATTTTAATGTTCTTACACATCACGAAAACTTAAGGGATACACAAAAACAAAATCAATCTGCTATAAATAGAAAATTTTTACCTCTGGTGAATTCAATGAAAACCATTTTTTCTTCAGGAACAGAATGGTTTCCCACAATTGGAAACTCTTTGTTTGGCCTGTGGAACTTTTGCAGGAGTTCCTAGAATCGACCAGTTCTTGCACAGGTTTGTGAACAGTAAAAGTAAGATTTCTACAGCTCTTAATTTAGGGCGAGCCTGTACCATAAATTAAGTTTTCTTCAGGATTTTCACAATGTTTTTATTTTTTTTTATTGACTTCGTTTCCTCGGCTATAGTGCCAACCAGCCAACCAAACCCTAAGCACCTGACAGAGCTATTAACTGTTGGACTTCTGATAACTTATTCCGCCAGTTTTACCGTAATATTCAAACTTAGAGTGATTTGACATGACCCCTGAAACAGATGCTAACATCTACTGCAAAATAGCCACTTGTAAACAAAAGAAGACACTGTAATTAGTGCATAATATTTCGTATTTATTCTACTACTGATTTTACGGGTTAAGTAAACCCACTCTAAACAGGAGTGAAATACGGGTACGAGATTATTTCAGTACATTCGTACAGAAGAACTCTCGCTTTAGCCTGTGCAAAGCCGCCCCCTCTCCTCCCCTCAACAAAAATGGGTAGAGTTTGAAGCGAGGAGGCGTACACAGGCTGCTCGCCCGTTTCCAGTACTCTATCTTCATTCAAAAATGGAAATTCTCTACCGCTTATTTTAAAAGTTGAAATGTTTTCCTAAGTTTTCCAGAAAGCACAAAGCCAAGTAAGTAAGCTATGGCAAGGAAAATAATCTCTATCTACGCAATAACGGCGATATCTTGCTTTCTTGCCAAGAATACTATGTTGATCAATGTTCTGTTAAATGTTTACGATATTTACTTATCATAACACATTGCTGTTCGCCTTTTGGTGTTTTGTGTGATAAGCACGCAGGCATGCATGACTGCAATGGGTAGAATTTCCAAACTTCCTTAGACAAGGTATAAACTTACTTATATCAGGTAAATATTTATTCGACCATTTTTTACTTCGTAGAATCTTAAGAACGTCAACCAATCTAAAGAAGCTGGACGTAAGAGGACTTCAAAGAATCTCACCTGAGGGTTTACAGGTGCATTGTATGACAAACTTGCTTTGGTATAATTATGAAACAAAATAGTTATAAATTATTTTGATTATCATTTTTATCACCATCAAATGTCATTGCCAAAATTACAATAAATTTCATTATAAGTAACACCCGCATCGGTAAACGTCTATATATTTAGCTTTCACATCATCATCATCATCATCATCATCATCATCATTATCACTACCATCATTACGATCTCCACAACCATCACCATTATCCCAATTATCATCATAATTAGAGACCTTAAGGTAAACCGTCCCGTATAGGTCTACGAGTAAGTTACCCGCAACTCTAGCCGTAAACACGGGTAGATTGCCTCTTATCTCGGATAAACGGGTAGGCTGCCAGGTAGAACGGAGGTACCGTCTTACATCTGGGAAATCATGGTTTTCTTTGACATAACTACGTGGCATGTATGCTCGCCTAGCCGTACCTGTGGGCAGTGTCTTAAGGTCCCTTCATCCTTTGTAATTATCATACAGCAGCACCGCCTTCATCAATGCAATCACCATAACCATCAGTTATCATTATCATTAGCCTACCCCTTTTTTGGATCACTAACGGACTCAACAAATTATCGGAAGTGCGTTTCGACTTCCATTCAACCTGATTAGCAAATCGACAATGGCTTTTTTAACAGGCCAGTCGTGGCGCGTACTCAAATCCTTGTACACAGGTGGGGGCCCAGACCAAGGATTTTGGCGCTGTTTCGCAGACGGACTTAACAATAGTTTTGTTTCTTCTGTGACGCAGGCTACATCATCTTCCTCATAATCATCCGTCATCACCATCGTCGTCATCAACGTCACCATTGCGATAGAAATTATTACCTCCCTCATCAGCAACTCCCGATCCACCACTACCATCACGATTACCTTTATCATTCCATCGTTGTGTTTGTTTTACTACTATGTTACTTATGTTTTTCCAGAGATTGCCAGTGACTTCCCTGGAGGAGCTGCTGTTTACAGACACACACACAAACCTCGCTGTGATGTCTGCTATCATTGAATTGGTAAAACGATCAATAAAAGCGCTTAAACAGTTTGAACTGTATTTCAGTAGCTGGAGATTTACGTTTTCTACTGTAAGTCGTGGCGCTTCCATTGAAAATGTGGTGCTCTTTTCTTCCTTTTTTTTTTCAGTGGCACCACAGTTTAGAGATACTAGATGTTTCCTCCAACAGTGGTATTAATGACAATTCCATGGAACTGCTGAGGACCTTTGGAATGCCAAAGCTACAGAGTTTGAACCTCGCTAGCACCAATATCGCTGGTGATGGAGTAAGGTAAGAAGTAGAAGGCGAGGTCTGAGCATAACCCATTCCTAGGGTTCTCTTTTACTCGCCCCCCAGAACGAGAGAAGGGACGGGTAGGAGAGAACACTAGGAACGAGGTTGGTTTCGGCAATGAAAGTTTTCCCTTAAAGTACCGTCCGCCATATTGCTGTTCTAAAACTGTCAATGAAACGACGGCCATATTGGCGATCCATACCTATCCGGTTGGAATTGAAACTTTTCCTTACGTAAAAACTTTCTTTTGTTCCAATAAACTTGTGTAACTGCTTGCGACGTGAGTGAAAACGCTCCAAATGAAAATAAAACTCAGTGGTTCTTTTTTGGGGGGTTTCTCCGAATCGTTGATACATCCTCTACGACGATTATCACAGGTTTTCAAAAAGCAGGTCGATGTCTTTTAAAACTAAGTAAGGTTTCATGCAGTACTCTAGGATTACAAAAGTATGAACGACACTCCGCAATTACAACGGCTACGCAAAAATAACGTTTAAATGAACTCAGATGTTTTCTTTGTCATTCGCTCTCCCTCTTTAGGAAAGCTTTGACTGGCTGTCCAAAGTTAAAGAAAATAAATTTAACGTCATGTCGTGGAGTTCCTCGAGGACTGAAACAGTGGCACGATGAAAGCAAACTGAGGAACTTGATTACAGCGCTAGGAGAGATGGAGTCTTGAATGAACAGTTGGAGAAGCGAGCAATAAGTCGTACCCTCAGAATAGTTAAATGTGTCAGAGCATATATATGTGAGAAGGAAGCGAAGCTGAGCAGATCGAGGCAGAAGGAAGAGGGACTCGTTCCCTGGCTGCACTCACACGATGATGGTTCAACCCGGTGTGCAATTTAAAAGTCAAATAATTTAAGGATGTCAGGCGTGCTGAAGTGTTCTGAATCTACCACTTTATCCATATTAATTTTCAAACTGTCTAAAGACAGCCTTTCTGTGTATATAGTATATCAGTCCTGTGTCGATTGCCAGCAGATGTCATTTTGCGGTTAATGGCGCGTACCTCTACTGCCCAGTCCCTGTCTTCATCTGTCCTTGGACTACTTTACTGATCCGCAGTCCATAACCCTAATTTCTTCCCGTAGTGGAAAAACCCACCCCACATGCGTATACACTACAGCACACTGCTCCTCTCTCCTTCAGTCTCCTGCCTTATACCTCTTAAACGGCCATTAATTTCGTATCCAGTTCTCCCTGATGTATGCTCGAAGGTTTGGAGATCTGGGTACAAGATCAATCTAGGTGCCATTCACCTCTTCCCTGTGCCTCGGCTCAGCTTAGTTTTGTTTGTCGGACCGGCATACGTTCAGAATCGAAACATAATCATGCAACTAGTTTTAATGACAAACAAACTATCATTCCATTTCTACTCTGCAACAGTTTTTCTTTTATTTGGTTATTAATTTACACGTTACTGTATTCCTCCTGACAACCCAAGAGAAGTGGAATTCATGTGAACGTTTCACAGTTATTAAACCTCATTTCAGGTCATGTACGTAACCATATTTCATAATACTGAAATGTGTAAATAGGAAGCAACTACAACAGTCATTTTGATGAATAAAAGGAATATTTGATTATGGTGTTTGCAGCACACTCTTTGCTTTCGTTATACAACTGCGTATACAGTGAAATCTCGCCTTGCGGACACCCCGCTATAACAGACACCCCGATAATACAGACAGCAGCTAAATCCCCAGCAAAAACAAATTACAGATGTTTGACGGAAATCAACTCCCGCCATTACGGACACTCGCTAATGAGGAAAACAACTCGAGTTCCCTACAGTGTCCGCTATAAAGGGAGTTGACCGTAGTGGGTCCCGTTCACACCCGCGAGGAATCGGAAACGGGTACGGAATTGGAGGTGCAAAGAACTCCATATATTCCCTACTGTGAATCGTAATCGCAAGCGCGGCGGAATAGGAAACGCAAGGATTAGAACTTGCACTCTTCCCTTCAAAACACTTCTGGTTCTATGGCTCTTGATTTACGGGGGTCCATTCTCGTCCACAGAGCCTCCTGGAGGTCCGAGTACAAAGACCAGGAGGCTCTGGGACACACGATTTGAAGTCCTAGATTTTTGGACATCCGGTCATCTCCGATTCAGAAGTTTGGAGGATTCTCTTTAAAAAGCTTTGAATCACAGTCAATTTACAGTCATTGCCGGACACTTCGGCAAGAGCAAGTGAACGCTATTAGAAACGTTATAGAAAATGAAAAATGACCGGAAGCTATTCAATCTAGGACTTCAAATCCTGTGTCCCAAGGACCTCTTGGTCCTTGTACTCAGTCCTCTAGGAGGCTCTGGAGACGAGACTGACTGGGATCTTGTTGAGCGAGGCAGAAAGGGACTCGGAATGAGATTTTAGAGAGCTTTAGATTAGAGGACGAGAACGACTACGAGTATGAAATTTGACTTTAAGTTTTTTTGCGTATTCTCAAAATATTGAGTCGCCCTAAAGCTTCATTTTATTATTCTTCACAAGAAAAGTTGGCACTGTTATCTAAATTAAACAAGGTTAAGCCCTCTTCCGATTACAAAATAATAAAATTTCTTACATTTGATAATTAGTTTCCGCCACTACGACGTCCTCTCTAAAACTCGTAGCAGAATGACGACAAATGACAACAGCTATCACTTTTTCCCGCCAAAATGACGATGGTTCACGCGCGTATACTACTTAGTAATTGATAATCTCCCCCGGGGGAGGGGGTACTAGGGTTAATTTTTGCTAAGTATGTGCCGCTGGCCTCTCAGGGCCCCTACCCCGTTGTAGTCTATTTTGTGTCTAATTATAGACCCCATTTTAGTCACCTTTTGAGCAAATGTAATTTTCGCGATCCCAACTCAGTCACTTTCTATTTATTTGTCTCCCTTATATTGAATGAAGAAAACTTTACTTTTCACCCACAGTACAAGCATTCTGGTACGTTTGTTAACCGTAAATGTGAAGAACTTTTTTACCTCAAAAATCAGAAAATGTGCGACCCCATTCTAGTACTAGTAACTCTATTGAAAATGCGACCCCATTATAGTCAATCCAGTCGTGAAAATGCGACCCCATCCAGCGGCACATCCCCATAAGCCTCTTATAAGGAACTACCCACCCCCCCGGATAATCTCGTACTCGTTTTCGAATCTAAAGCTCTCTATTCTAAGAATACCCCAACGGGGATTTCGTCTAGCCACAGGCGGCCCAAACTCACGTTACGAGAAAAGGGTGTAAAGTAATTTATATACCATAGGTGTGATCTTTGTGCTGGACAAGCCGGTGTCGGTCGTGTCGCGTTACAGGCGACCGTTGAAAATAAGAGACTTCAGGGGCACCAAACGAGAATATAGTTCAAAACCACTTAAACACAGCATTGTTGAATTTATTTTAGTATTTAAACGGTAGATATAGGCATATTTTTACCCCCTAAAAATTTTTCATCTGTTCGGATTTCCTAGCTGAAAGTCTAGTGATCGGAAAATTAAAGGGATCAAAACTTACCTTTTCGAAAATTTCAGCCAGAAAAAAGCCCTCGGAAAATTCTAGGTGACCTTTTAGGGTAAAAATCCGTTAAAAATGGGCAATTATACCCTTTTTTAGATTTTCGAAAATCCTAGGAGAGGTAGGCAAGCAAGAAATTTTACAACAAATGTTCCGAAAAATCTAGATCTCAAATCGTCTTCCGAACAGATATTTTCCAAAAATTGACTTTGGGTGCCCCTGAGACTTTCTATAAGAAATAAAATATTGAGATCTGCGAACGCTAAATAACGTTAAATATTATTTTTCCTTATTATGAAATGAATGAAAAAGACTTTCCTACCGTGGTTTGGTGTCTGCTTGTCGTTTTACTGTTTTTTTGGCTTTATTGCATAACCACTGTTACTCCCAAATGGAGTGGGCGCGGAAAAGAGAATCGACGAGTTGCTTCGCTCGCCGACTTTCTTTTTTCCCGCTCCGTGCATGGGAGCCTGTTTGCAGGCTAAAAAAGAAATAGGAACAGGAACAGATCGAACAGGAAGACTGAGCTGGGAAAGGACAAAAGAGCTATTGCAGAGAGTCTCTGGCCGTTAGAATTCTACTCTTAAAAGTTTGACCTTGTTAGAGAAGGACGGTTTTGTTTGCATTTTTCATTTTCCCTTTCCCCGTGCTTGTTCTCCGCTCCCCGTTCCTCGTTTTACGATAAACAACCTTTGTTGTTCGCTGCATTTACACGTGCAATGGTGAGAGCCAATGGAGATACGCTTTTCTAATCACGAGGATGCTTTGCGGCGCTAAATTCAAATTTAAAATTCAGTGATGATTTCACAGCACGTGAAAGAAGACGGGTTGCGAACAGTTCAGTAGACTTTACGATAACATTTCTCTTCGCAGCCCAGTTATTTTGACTTCTTTCTTTACCTTGCACCCAAAAATCTGGCTGTGAAAACAACTTTTGGATTAACTGATGCAATAACAAGCTAGAAGGTAGGTAGAGGTTGTTTGCGGTTCAGTTACGTTGCAACTTGAAGTCACGGCTGACAAATTCTACACAAAATGGCATATAGTTTGATGTTTTTCATTGCTATGTTTGATAATGATGTCGATAATTCAGATAATCTTTTATCATTGCAGAGAGTACTAATGGAAATACACCATGCAATTCAACTCAAAGCCGAGATAAAGCGCACCACGGAGATGGTGTCTCAAACGTCTACACGTGACAGCGGCATGAGATAGAAGAAAAATTCAACTTCCAAAAGGTAAAAGATGCTCAGTTGCTTTTTTCAAATGAGTAACAGACACCGTGCAAACTAAAGATTTTTAATTTTGTTGCTATTTTATATTAATTTCGGGAGGTAGGATAAAACAGCGGGTGAATGTTAATTTAAAGCAATCGTTCAGTTCCTTTACTTAATTATATTTACTTTCAGCATATCTATCCAAAAGTAGTCTTAATGTTATCAATTAGAAATGAGTTGATAATCTCCATCCTCCTCTGCCCTTTGTTACAAGTGTAAAATTCAAACGAAATTGTACTCTGTGTGCACGTGGCAACAGTTTAAAGGAGGAAAGGGCAACAATGGACGCGTGAGGGCTCCGTCTTACTCGTGGGGTGGGGGGTGGTGGGTTGGTAGTGTTATTCACGCACCTGTTTTTATTATTATTTGGTGAATGTAAAAGGCGATACAAATGCAAAAATGTTCCAATACTTCTATCGATGATTAATTTCTATAAGTAGCACAGAGTACCCACAAACGTGGCAGCAATCCCGTAATTAATTATAAAATAGTGAGCACGGTCGAACTTACCGTACGTTGACAAGCCAAGATTTTTCTCACTGCCACGCAGTGCATACAGCGAACATGGAGATCATATCATGTACTAAGTGAGCTTAAGTGGTAGCTTGAGACATTCAAAAAAAGTGAGAAAAAATTAATTCCTTTATCAATTGTTTTTTTGAGAGATTCAAGTATAGTGCTTTGAATGAGAAAGTTTGATGACGTTTTTGAAAGTTGGTCGCTTTTGGAAGAAGCTCGAGCACATAGAGATTTGATTGTAATTTAATAACTTGGAGGGTATATCAAGGAAAATGTCTTTACCCGGATCACATCTTATCTCTGGTCAGTTTCTCGCTGTTACTGATTTTTTCAAACAAAACAGTTACCAAAGAAGGGAAAAATGATCAGTCAAGG